CATAGCCTTTCCCTCTTCGGTATCTTGTCAGCTGTTTCATGTCCTCCTTATGGGCCTTATCGGTATTCGTGTCCTCTTCTTCTTGGGCGGACAGACTATTATTATACTTGTTTCTCCCCCAACTCTTAACACCTTCAGAAATTCATCTTCTGTGAAACTTTCAATTGCATTTCTACCCGTTATAGTTGGGGCCACGCGGTAACGTAGTTGGTTGAGGCACTATGTTACAAACCGGAAGGTCGCGGGATCCAATCCCGTTGAGGTGATTTTTTTTTCAATTTACGTGATCCTTTCAGCCGCAGTATGGCCCTGGGGTCGACTCAGCCTCAAACAGAAAGGAGTACCAGGAATATTCTTGATGGTAAAGGGCGGCCGGCCGTCGCATAAGGCTGACATCCTCACCGCCATCTCTGAGCCGATTGTCTAGAAAATGTGGGAGCCTCGACCTCTCACAACCCTATGGGTCTCCATGGCCTGTTACAAGGATACCCTTACTTTTACTTATCCGTTCTAGTTTCCTCCTGAAAATTTCATATTCAGTGCTTGGATTTTACTTTTGTTTCTCATTATAAGGGGTCGTATTTCAGCGGTATATGTTAGTTTCTGTTGAAAACTGACTTCATATAGTGAAGACCACGCTATATTGTTAGGCTTCTATATGAATATGATCTGACGAGGCTTGTACACTGCACAGTTGTAATTCTGATTAACCTCATGGAGATGCCGACAGTTGCTCAGCTGACCAACTTTTCCCTGTACTTTACTGAACCAGTGGGTTTACCTTATTTACAGGATCCCGCTACTGAACCCTGTACTGAGTCATATAAATCATGAGTACCGCTTTGAAGATTTCTGCTACTGTTATTCATTGCAACTGTAGTTTTTCTTTGTGGGGGGGTCGCCCTTGGAAGGCGAGAGCAGAATTCCACTTCACGCGAATTTGTGATTGTAAGGGCGGTTGACCCCCAAGCACGAATAAGACGAATTGATACGCAGGGGGGCAACAATTCTGGCGCTGTCACTCGTGCAGAAATTTGAAATATAGGATTCTATCAAAGTCAGTACGGCGGTTCATGAAATGCAGCAATGGCTCTTCTTGAGAGCTTAATAGTTGCAATTTATTGAGAAATTTCCACTATTCTGTGGAACCCGAAGATTCATTACCGAGTACAGAAGAGAGACCGTCACTTTTCTCTTTACTTAACTGGATTAATGGCCGCGCCATAGCTTCAAGCGGCTAGTCGCTGGCTTCCCACCGCGGCGGCCCGGGTTCGATCCCTGGTTCTGGTCAAGTGGGATTTGTGGTGGACAAAGTGGCGCTGGGGCAGGTTTTCTCCGAGTACTTCGGTTTCCCCTGCCAATCTTCATTCCACTAATGGCTCCACAGTCACCCTCACCTATCATCTGGGGCTGGTACAATAGGGCAGAAGTGGCCAAAGTACAAGGGACTTAGTCCCACCCCACTAGCAATAAAAAAATAGCCAGATTAATCCAGTACCCCTCACCCTATTTATGGTGAATCTTATTAATTACCCATCTCCGCCTAAGTCTTCCACATAGTCTCTTTAATTCTAAACTGTACGTAACTGCATGGAAATTCGCTTTGCTTAATTGTATCGGAAACCGTAAAACTTGTGGAAAAATTGTGTCGAGCGTAAAATATGCACTTAGTTTTATAAATTTTCGTTCCAATTGACATTAATGAGTTAGTTTCGTGATGCGCGCAAAACCGCACGTATATCTTCAAGCACTCTCCTCATCGTCCGAATTGGCATGTATCAACAAATTTGAGTAAATCGCTGCATGTCACATTTCATCATCATTGGTTCTCTAGTAGGTGGACGGACAGACATGGCGAAGGTAATAAAGACATATTTTTATAGCTTTTCATGGCGGGCGCTCTGGAAATCGTAACGTTTAAGGTTCTCGTGTTTTACGGATTGACTGGATTATGGAGCTGTACTCATTGTTTCCTTGCCTTCGTCACTGGGTGAAAGTATGACCTTATGTGAGTCACAAGCATAATTGAGTGACTGAATTCAGGACGGATGACCATGGTTCATTTCTCGATAGGAGCACTTATTTTTCAAATAAAGCTCTGCGCAATATTCTTGGGCTCGGAACTAGGTCGAGATGAGAATGGTGAGCCTCAAGTTTCGAACGATCTGTTCTCGAGGGAGAACCCAGCAGGCCTACTGATATGTTTTAGTGATGAATTCTGCCGTAGGACCTGTCTTGACCTCATAGCGAAGAAGGAAATCATTACTGCCTGGAACGGAACCCATGTCATCAAACTGGTAGCCAAACACGTTTTCTTTATTTACATCAACTTTCAACGGAAGCTGACTGTTAATTCCAGCCGACCTCGCTGTTGTATTAGTAAGGTAAACCGCACACCGGCATGCGTCAAGACATGTAACAGTCAAGACACGATGTCTGCGACAGGACGCAAACAAAGGAGCACAGTTGAAACGAATTAGATTATGAAAACCGCCACACACCGGTCTGAGTGCTCATGCTGACGAATCACGAATGAAGCAAGACTGCGTTTTTTATCTCATGTCTTGATGCTTATCTTGACGCATTTGGTGTGCGGCCACCCTTACCCTGTATACATGTATTCGAATGGAACCCTAATCGGAACTCATTTCGTGAACTGAACTGAATTAAGAAAATCATTAAATCACATATAATTGATGTTGTCTGGATACCTGCACAGGTGAATCTCTACGTATGAACTGTCAAGAAACGAACAATTCGTATTTAGGAACATTGCACCTAGTGATAAGTTGCTCCCAGTTCGTTTAGCGAACATAGAACCCTACACTTAACGAACATTTGAACAAATTAACCTTTAACACATTTAACGATATATCATGGGTAAGTAAATTCAACTTACGAACGTTCAACTTGAGACAAAGATATTTCAGAGAACACATTATGTCTGTTAAGTCGGGATTCGCATGTATTGGTTTCGAGCGTATTAGAAACTGATGCCGAAGTGAGTGTGTGACATTTGTGAGGGACAGTGACACTGGGACAGGTGTTTCCCTGTATAGCTGCGTTTACCCCGCCAGTCATACCAGCAGTGCTACATACTCATACGTAAACGCCCCTTAAGAAGTGCCCCATAGGCAGCACCTGCCTCACGATCGTCCTATCCACTAATGACATACATGGACCAACTGCTGCCGGATGTAACCTGGATCAGCGCCTTGAAAACCCGCTATCCGGTTGCCTTAACTGTAGCATCACCGTAACTGCTTGAAGGAAGAACTTGATCATAAAAGTAGAAAGTAAGTAAAGGTATCCCTGTAACAGACCGTGAAGGCCCATAGGGTTGTGAGATGTTGAGGTTCCCACATTTTCTAGACAATCGGCTCATAGATGGCGGTAAGTTTGTCAGCCTTACGCGCCGGCCGCCCTTTACCCCCAAGAATATTGCTGGTGCTCATTTCTGTTAGAGGCTGAGTCGACCCCAGGGTCATAGTGCGGCTGGAAGGATTAGGTAAATTGAAAAAAAATCATCGCAATTCGATCCCGCTACCTTCCGGCTTGTAGCATAGTACCTCAACCAACTACGCTACCGTGTGCCCCATCAGAGTAACACCTAAAAATTAATTTCCCTCCTCACAGGAAACACGGCGTCTCCGTTACAAAGATCGACTGGTTAATGCTGTTTAGGTAATTCTGAGAATCATATGAAACTCATAAATACGCTTTAGGAACAATACAGTGTTTTTAAGCTGATGGTATATATGGTGACCACTGTGCTTTTAAGAATAAATCATTTGTGTCTCAATTGAACAAAAATATATTTATGTGATTTGATGGTTTTCTGAATAACAGAACGAATGGACTACAGATATGGAGGTGCCATAAAACGATAACATTATTTTATACTCTTCTTCTGACTCATCATCAGCTTTTCTTCTCCATTTCATCATATCGTAATATGCATTTGCTTATTCTCGTACCATTCTCTCTCCCTTTGCCCCTTTCGCCTATACGTATCCTCCTCTTCTTTTCTCGTCCTCGTGCTTCTCGTCCGCGCTTGTGCGCATCCGGTCTGAAAGGGATAGAGTTTGAACAAACGTTCACTTAGTTCACCAGTGGAAAGAAGATTTCACTCATTGTTACTCCTGTTTTATTAGGTAAATATAAAGAACTGTTTATAGCTCCCAATATTTCTTCACTCTTAAGCCACAATTTTTCATTCGTCACGGGAAAGCAGGCGAACGCGTATGGTTCATCTATATATTCTTCCCCAGGACATGACCTGGTACTCCTTCCTCTCGCACTGTGGAGTGTGCCAAGTACTAATCTTACCCTTTGGATGCACGACGTAGACTTGTTTCCGTTCATCTCCTGTGACATCTGTATTCTACGGATTTTTGTTGTAATTACGTCTTCTCAAGTTTTTTTACATCCCTCTTGAACTTTCTTTCAGCGGAAGTCAGTTAAGGTAAAAACCAAACGTTTTCTATATCCTTAATTAAGGACCACGTCATGAAGAAATATAGAGGACTGGGTGTATAGCTCCACATGTTTTAACCTCTGCACTTAATGGAGGTGCGTGATCAACTTTACTCCCGGGAAAAGAGCCCTCGTTACCCGTTGGACAGTCTGGATATGCTCAAAGAGTTTTATATGAGGAGGCGGTTTTAATAAAGTTCTATTTGAGCGCCTCATTTATAGCGAGGCTGATACTGGATCGATACAAAATAAAAATTAAATCCTCTATACACCCAGCAGGTTTGAAGTTTACTCCAATACCAAATTTAATCAAATTTCCGGAAATTAAACGTGCTGACGAAAGAGATGTGACTCTTTATACACTTTCATAGTGTGTTGCATTTGGTAAAGAACCTATAATTGTAGTGAACGGCACTAAGAGAAAGCGTGCAAATATTTTCGCCATCAAGACATGCCAAATTTTAGTGCCATGTGAGTCAAGGGAATTATATTGTCTGAATTAAGGTTTTTTTTTCTTTTGGCAGGTGACTTGTCATGGCGCCTTCCGAGGAGACAACTAGCGCCACTTGCTCTCAGCAACCAGAACAAGACGTAGCAAGGGCAAAGCTCCAGCAGGACAGCCCAAAGATCCAGCAGGGTGTCTCTACTAACTTTGAGGAAAACATTGGTCACAGTGGAAGCCCCAGCTGTATAGGAACCATTGACCCAGTTTTAGACGGCCCGAAAAATGTTGCTACAAACTGCACAGAAAACATAGACCCTTTGGTTGAAAGTCAAAACAGCAATGCCAGTGTTTGTGTAAAAAACGTTAACCCACGTGTGAACAGTCCAAAGAGTGGTTCTAATAACAGCATAGGAAACAGTGATTCAGTTGTGGATAAGAATGTTGACCACATACTGGACAGTTCACAGAGTGTAGAAAATACTGACCAGATTGTAGATGGGCCAGGTATTTGTGCTGCCGTTACAGAAAATGGGAACGGTTCAGAGAGTGTTGTGAATACAAATAAACGACATAATGATGAAATTCAGGATGGACCAAAGAAAGTTGTTACTAACTATGCAGAAAATGATGATAAAGTTGTGATTAGTGCGAAGTGTGTTACTGCTACCAACTTAGATAATGTAGAGCAAGGCGCTGAGTGTAGTACAAGTGTCAGCAGTGTGGTGAATGAAAAGAAAAGTAAGGTTGTGGACAATCCAAAGTGTATTGCAGTTGCCTCCACAGAAGACAACGATGAGATTATGGACAGGCTAAAAGATAAGGATAGTGGTGATAATACTACCTGTGTTGAAAACATTGCCTGTGCTGTGAGTGTTTCAAAGCAGGAAATTGGCGCCAAGAGTGAGAATGATGGTAATCATGTGACTGTTGCTGCCAAAGTTGATGACATTGAAATTGTGAAGAAAGGTAAGGATGTTGGTATTTGTACTTTTCTGCCCTGTTTAAGATATTTGTATGCCTCTGTGTGTGTATGTGTTTGTTTTGAAGCTGTGACGTTGCATGGGATGCGAGATTCTTACGGCAGTGACTGAAGAGTAGCGTCATCTGGGATGTAACGCCGTATAGTCTGGTATAGAAATTTACTGACTTCTGAGAGGAACCTACTGCATCAATCCTCAGGGTTGAAGAGTAAGTCAGACAAGGAAGAAGCAAGCAGCAGGAACTTACATCTACCAGACTGCACGGCATAACGTCCCAGAAGACAATACCCTTCTTTGCATCCATGATACAGCGTCACGTGTACAGTTTCATTTTCGGTCCTTGTGCATTTTCTTTCTGAAAGCCACATAGCATTTGAATATTACTGGCTTCAGGGATGTGATATAGTGTATTCTGGTAGGTTGTTACCAACTTTTCATATGAACCTGTTGCTCCCTTATCTGTCTGCTATTCTGAAGATGGAGGCAGCAGGTTCCCTTGAAACAGTAATATGATCTACGAGATTACATGGTATCATATTCCGGGCTACAGTCTTCATTGTCGCTGTCATGAAGACCTCATACCATTTGCAGTATAATTGTTTCACCCTTTCACGATTACAGGAACATTTAATTTTCCAATTTTGATTTTTTCCCCATGTGTGATTCCTATGGAATGAACATCATTTACAGAATTTGAGACTGTCTTCTTTGATATGATACTCGTAGTTTGATAAGTGGTATTGTTTCAGAGGAACCTGTTGGCTCCATCTTAAGGGATGCAGCAGGTTCCTCAGACTCACTGGTATCTGTCATCCAAACAGGAAGTCATCATATCCCGGAACATGATAATACTCAACTCTCACATGTTTGAAATCATTGTCGCTGTCACCCTAAATTGGGTATAAACCAAGATAGCTGTCAGTGAAGTGACTGGCTTTGGACTGGATGATCGCACCATCTCTGGGAGACACAGCCTCCTATACAGTCAGTATTGGTGGTTCTTTCATGATGTGTAAGGCATCTGAGCATGAAACTGACCACTGTAATACTGAGACTGCAAATGCATGGGACTTTATACCTTTATAGTGTACCAGGAATATCCTTGGGGTTAAAGGGCTGCCGGCTCGTAAGGCTGACAACCTTTCCACCATCTGTGTGCCGATTGTCTAGAAAATGTGGGAGCCTCGACCTCTCACAACGCTGTGGGCCTCCACGGCCTGTTACAGGGATAGTTTTACTTTACTTTACTTTACTTAGTACTACAGTGGGCCTCATTCAGACGCTCTGATAAGGGATGCATAAGATTTTAGCTCTCTGAGAAAAAGTAATGGATGCTTCCTTTAGTATGATTTCTCTGTCTTAAATCTGGTATATATAAAAAGGCACTAGACAATGTCCAAAGCTATGAAATTTACGCCGTGGTCTTGCCAGTGTGGACGGTGGCTGTGGCTGGTGATGCAGTAGAGTTTCTTGGTGTGATTCCTCATTCCATTTAAGTTTTAGCTGCTACGTATTATGATACTGGCAGGGAAAGGAGTCATACTCGTACACACTGACGTAATAGCAAAAGTATGGAATACGTAGTATCTCTAGGTGTTCTTTGTTAGGTCCCAGTAGAAAATGCGAAGCAGATAAGCAGGAAATATAAAAGCTAGCATTTCTGTATACACTAGATAACTCCAAACTTTCAGGCATGCTTTTCATATGTTGGGTGCATGAATGTCTGATGTTCTTACATTAATTTAACTTTTGTGATGTGACCTCAGTATACCTCTTTTTTTTTCTAATTCGCTTAAGAGGGGGTGGAGTCCAACTGGGTCCGCCCGGCATGGCGGCCACTGATTGGCCTTTTGTAACCTGCCCTTGGTGATTATGATGATGGAGAATTGGGGGGAATGAAGATTGGCAGGAGAAACCGAAGTACTCGGAGAAAACCCGCCCCAGCGCCACATTGTCCACCACAAATCCCACGTGACCAGTCCCGGGATTGAACCCAGGCCGCCGCTTTGGGAAGCCAGCGACTAACCGCTTGAGCTATGGCGCGGCCCAGTATACCTCTTTATTTTGCATGAAGTTCAAATCAAACTACACCAGTGATCTCTTGTAAAAAATGTTGGTGACATGATAGTGATCACCTAAAACTTTTTTTAATCTCAATGTGGTAATTGTTTGAGGAAGTATAGCTAAGTAAATAATCCAACTTTTGGCGTAGTGTCCTTAAGAAGTTAATAGGCACTCACATAGTTAAGAAATACCCAACTATTTATGGAACCCAAAGGTTTGTTACCAAATTCATAAGAGCTCACCACTCATCTTTGTCCTGAGCCAAATGAATCCAGTCTACACCCTCCCACCCTCTTTAAGATCAATTTTAATATCATCCTCCAATCCACACTGAAATCATCCAAGTTATGTCTTTCCAAACATCTCTCAGATAGATGCTACCTGTCGGCACAGCTGTCTCTTCCCCCTTCCTGATTTTATCATTACGTGTTTAATAATGGGCTGTTTTCGATGAACGGTACAAATTACTCGTATGAATTCACCCTGCTCAGCTTCACAAACTCTCTTCATCCTGCACTCATCTACCCATAATCTATACCCTACCTTTAAAATGAGTGGCCAGGTTTCACACACATATAAAACAACTGTGAAGTTACAGTATTATTTTGTTTTTTGCAATTTAAATGGAGGATCGGAAGACATAAGATTCTGAACTGAGCTGTAGCCTTAATGGAGCGCAAGGAAAAGTACCGTATTTACGCATGTATAGGCCGCACATTTTTTGCCAAAAATTCAAGAGGAAAACTGGGGTGCGGCTTATATTCGAAATCACACTTCATTTAAAAAAAATTATATTCATAATTAGTAATACAGGGTGTAATACTCCTGAAATAATATTCCAAGAAAATTATTTTTTCTATAATTTCTGTCTGAAAATTATGCTGCGGCCTATACATGCGTAAATACGGTAATTCTTTNTCAGGATAGGGACCAGTGAAGGGCTCTTGTGAACACGGTGATGAACCTTCGGGTTCCATAAAATGCTGGGAAATTCTTGAGTAGCTGCAGAATTGGCGGCTCCTCAAGAAGGGTTCAGCTCCATGAGTAATAATAATAATAATGTAGCGTAATAGTAGTGGCCTGCCCCTGTGAATGTCTATTAGTGGTCTCTTGTCATCAGGTGTCCCTCCCAGTACCTTTTATGCACTTCATTCACTCACTCGCTAGTTGTCCTCCACATTTCAGCATCATTAAGTTATCATTATAGTAATAATTTGGGGGGGGGGAGTGCATGGACGCACGCACATACACAGAGTCATTCAAAATTAGGTTGACCCTCCGAAAAGCAATGTCTGTTGAGTTTCAGATGTAAAGTAAAGTGCGTTGTGTTGGCGGATAACGGACATTTTTCTGTGCTAAGTTCTCCAGGCCGCGTATTAGCCTGGCAACAGTAGTGAGTGAAGTGGGAGATCGGACAGGAGCGAACGGAAACTGGATGAATCTTTATTTTTATGCGATTTTTCCTTGAAGTCAGTTACGATAGGGGGCTACGTGGCTCTCCACGACATTTTCGTGTGAATGTGAGGGCCCAGTGCCGGCACTCTCGTGTTCGCCTGACTTCTTCCTGTGATGCTACATCAAGGATCAGATGTCTCGGACCTCCTACCGCGATCTCTGGACAAACTGAGAGCAATGAGTGTTGCAGCTGTTGCCACGACTAGGGCTGACATGCATACTTGTGTACTGATGCGCACATGCAACTGTCATCGTTACGTGAGGACGCCACGTAGAACCTTCGTGAAACTGAAAAATGCATTGGCAAAAAGTTTATGTACCAACACAATGCACTTTGTTTTATTAACATACTTTCCTTATTTTTAAAAAGTAAAAGTAGGCTTATAAAGTCGCCTTGCTGTCTGTGTGTCTATGTGCATTCCTCCTGTCGGTGCTTGGCAGAGGCTTGGTAAAGTGTGGCCCTCATTTCATTGCTAGGCAGCGGTTCGGTAAACACGTTCCCGCAACAACGAATGCACGCAACAATAGAAGAATTGTTGGACGCGTCATTTTCTGTGCTGTCCATGTATCAGAAGAGTAGGCGATTAGTTCTTCCCAGAACTTATTGTATGTTTATAACACTATTTCGGAAATGTTTTTGTTCAAAAATGTCACCTAATTTAGAAAGACTTTAGAAACATTGGTCTATCTGGTAGAATGGCCAATTTTTATTTCTTATTGCCGACCCCCAATAGTTGAACATGTGGTTGGTCATAAAACTGCATTTTCAGAATTCCCACAAAGGGCATAGGTGGCCCCCCGTTGCAAACTACGGCCAAGTCTACTATATTGGTTGCTATTTATTGCACCAGTCCTAACAGTAAAGAATGGCAATTTATTCCGCCCAATATATTTATGTGTTGGGTATGATTCTCACGAAAAGGAAGACGAGAAGAAGATAATGGAGGAGCAAAAGGGCAATAAAAAGGAGTAGGGGGAAAAGAGGGTAATGCTTGAGGAAACCCTAGAATATCTTTCTGATGCGTTTGGTTTGAAAGGGTTAAGATATAACTTCCATGTTAGGTGGGTCCCTGTCACCACGGCATGGCGCGTCCTCAGGTTTCGGATGGAGGAGACGCCCTCCAGTTTTGGAGGGAAGTTGTGAATATATTGAATAAGCAGTCGCGGACATCCGACAAGAGGTGTTCCTCCAGCTTGGGGGTTGGGCGTGGGGCTACCAACTCCTCACCGTAAAAAATCATTATGTTACGAAAATGAACACAAAGCCTCGGACCTGGACTGATTCCTTGGATAAACGACCTAAGTGATTAGAATGATCAAGTCAAGGAGAATGAGGTGGGCAGTTCTTATAGCACGAATGGGGGAGACGAGGAATGCGTGTAGGATATTGGTGGGAAAGCCAGAAGGAAAGAGACCACAGGGAAGACCAAGGCGTAGGTGGATGAACAATATTAGAATGGATCTTAGAGAGACAGGATGGGATGGTATGGATTGGATAGATCTGGCTCAAGATAGGGACCAGTGGAGGGCTCTTATGAACACGGTGATGAACCTTCGGGTTCCATAAAATGCTAGGAAATTCTTGAGTAGCTGCAGAATTGGCAGCTCCTCCAGAAGGGCTCAGCCCCATGAGTAAGTAAGATATAACTTCTGTTCACAACATTTTTTTTTGATATGGTCAGTATTTAAAAACATATAAGGCATGCTCTCTTTTAATCGTCCATTATGGCATCTGTAGCATGACTGGGTGTGTGTGTGTGTATATATATATATTTGTGTGTGTGCAACGAGGTATGCGGTTCGCAAAGAATACATTAGCAAAATGTGTGAACCTTTACACACTTGTTCCATCGGTGCCAGGCTCGCCGCCTTGCTTCAGGGCTAACGGTAAACATGCATTAGAAAGTAGCGAGGTTACTGTGTGCGTTAAGAGTTTGCGCTTGGCCCACATTCGGAAATTCTCAGGAATTTTACTTTTTTTTTTCCGTCGACCTCATTTCCCAATAGTCGTCGTAAATGTCTCCGTGTGAAGATTTATTCGTCTAAATGTTATATCTGTCCTTTTTGAATAATCTTTAATCCATCCGAAAGAGTGACTCTATCAATTGTTGGCACCCATCACAGAGAGATATGGGGCTATTTATGTTCATTTTACTCTCTCGCAAGGCATAATTCTTTTGTTTGGCAACAAGTATCATTAAGAAAACCTCGATAAAAATTAAGGTGTAGTCATTTCTGTGCGTACGTATCAATCCTAGGAGGCGTATAATTGAAGTGGAGTAAAACCTCCACGGCCCTAGACGGAGGCGCATGTTGCGCTTCTCTCCCTAACCGTTTTATTTCTGGGAAAGA